GGGAGGGAGGGAGGAAGGAAGGGAGGAAGGAGGGAGGGAGGGAGGAGGGAGGGAGGAGGGAAGGAAGGAGAGAGGGAGGGAGGGAGGGAGGGAGGGAGGAAGGGAGGGAGGGAGGAAGAACAGCCACTCGTTTCATCCGTACCCAAAACATCAACTAGTCCAGAAACAAATCTAAGTAATGGTGCAGGTTGACTTATGACCAGAGTGGAACCCAAAATTTTGTTGCTAAGTGTCCCAAAGGTGCGTTTTTTCCCAGGAGGCAACGGGGCTGTCTTATTTTTCTTTGAAGACGTTTCGCTTCTCACCCCAGAAGCTTCTTCCGCTCTGACCGGATGGTGGGGAAGGGAAAGATTGATACTCCTTGCAGAAAACCTGGTCATTTGCCTCCTTTCAGAGAGTCGTGGAGGTTTATCTCAGAGGAGGACGTGGGGGGACATGATAGCAGCCTTCCAGTATCTCAGGGGCTGCCCCAAAGAAGAGGGAGTCAAGCTATTCTCCAAAGCACCCAAAGGCAGGACAAGAAGCAACGGGTGGAAACTCATCAAGGAGAGAAGCAACCTAGAACTAAGGAGAAACTTCCTGACAGTGAGAACAATTAACCAGTGGAACAACCTGTCTTCAGAAGTTGTGAATGCTCCAACACTGGAAGATTTTAAGAAGAGACTGGACAGCCATTTGTCTGAAATGGTGTAGGGTTTCCTGCCTGAGCAGGGGGTTGGACTAGATGACCTCCAAGGTCCCTTCCAACTTTATTATTATTATAATCCGTGAAATAGTTTGCCTGGAGCTTTTCAAAAATCGTCTGGATAACTGTTTGACTGAGAGTCCCAAAGACAAGCTGTTCCATTGGTTGACCGTTCTCACCGTTAGGGAGACAAGAGCAACACCAAAAAAGGCCTTTGTTCTCCTTTTCTCCTGTTCTCCAGCCCTTGAGAAAGAAGCCCCCATCCTGGATAGACCTGTCAGGAGATACTCACCCGAGCTCCCAGCCGATGGCTGTAGTAGGAGGTGAGCTCCTACATGATTCTGTAGGAACGCTTGAGAACACTCCGCTGCTCCATAGGTCACAAGTCCGCTACTGCCGGGGAGCGAGAAAAACGTGGTGGACTTACTGGGCGTGGCTGTTGCGAGTCGGACACTGGGCAAGGTACTGCCAGAAAGATGGATTGGGAAGTGGGACGTCTCGTGCTGGGAATACTGGTGGCCATGCTGATGCAGACCGGGATGGCTATTGGGGTGAAAAGAGGGGTTTTCCAGGTTGATTGTAGGCTCCAGTTGCTCCGGGTAATTGCAGTCCATAGGAGAACTGATGCTCAGGTAGAAGAAAGAAAAGAAATTTACTGGTTGTCGTTCAGAAGCAGGACTAGTGACGAGTCCTTATATCAGCGGTTCTCAACCTGTGGGTCAGGACCCCATCTGGGGTCGAACGACCATTTCATGGGGGTCACCAAACAACGCAGTCCGCCATTTCCCCCCCCCCCTTTTCCTTAGCTGTGCTACTCCCTTTTATTCTATTGGCTTTTGAAAGCCAATAGAATAGACTCTCTTGAATGGAGTCTAATTCTATTGGCTTTCAAAAGCCAATAGGAATTGTCCAGGCTGTCTCTGCCCTGCTGAGCCCGCCAAAAGTCCCATTCTGCAAACGGTGCTGCACCAGTTGAGTAGTCCTCAATTTACGACCGGTTGAGTAGTTCTCGACTTACCACTGGTTGGGGGTCGCGGCATTAAAAAGGTTGAGAACCACTGCCTTATATCATATACCAGAGAATTCGGAAATAACCCTCCGTTTGGGTATCCAAGGCAGACACTTGAGATACAGAACTTCTATTACGCACCTTAGAAAACTACATGACATGACATTTGGACATTCAAATTGAGGCCCTTGTCCTAACCTCTTACAAGGTTTGACATTCCTTAGTTAGCCGTCGCTCGGCATCAAATCTGGGCTACGGGGTGTGTGTCTCTGTGTGTGTGTGATCAAAAACATCCCAACGGAACTGCTTCCAAAGTTCCTGGGTGTGTCTAGCGGTGTGCAGGCGAGCATTGTCGTGAACCGACACCACACCGGAAGTCAGCAGGCCCCGACACTTGTTATGGATGGTTCGTCTGAGTTTTCGTAACGTTTCACAGCAGACGTCTGAATTGAGGGTCGAACCAGGCTCCATGGACTTCACGAGCAGTTACTCCTTTGGCCTCTTCACATTTGGCGGGATTTTCTATGGCACCACTTCCGGTGTGGTGTCGGTTCACGACAATGCTTGCCCGCACACTGCTAGACACACCCAGGAACTTTTGAAGCAGTTACGTCAGGATGTTTTGGATCACTCCCACTCCCCATAGACCCACTGTGGGGTCCTTGCTTGCTCTCTTGAGCTTGATGGTTTCCTTGCAGACGTTTCATGACCCAACTAGGGAACATCATCAGTGCCAGAACCAAGGTCAGACTCTACACTAACCCAGCAGTCCTTGACTTGCTACCGTAAGCCCAGCATTACAGTCCTGAGTCACGCTGCTTGGGCTGAGTGGGATACCAGGCGGCCACATCTGATTTTTACAACAGGGAGCGTTAAAACGACCGGTCGTACATTGAGGACTACCTGTATTGCAGACTGCCTAATGCCCCTTTTAGGTAAGCAAGGCCTGGGACCAACTGGGAGCTGCTGTTCCAAAGAAGAGAGTGGGAAGCAATGCAGTGGGACCCCCCTTTTTTTGTTCCAGGTGATAGGTCATTATTGCCCCCCGGGGACCAAGTGGCCGGGGGACCCCCTTTTTTCCCCCTGCTCCTGGGCCACTGGCTGACCTTTGTGTCTGGATGCTGAAGGTGAGGGTCTCGCTCGAGTTGCTTTCCTGGCTGGAGGGGCTGCGTTCGCTGGGCAGGCTGTCGTCCAGCATCAACGGAACAATGTGGTAATCCGGGTTCAGGATCACGTTGAGGGGAAGGTTGCTGCTCCGGCGAATCGGTGGAGGGCTGGGAATGGCCGGAAAGAGCTCTTCCCGGAGGGATCCCAAAGCACCCTGGGAGGCCACCTTGGTCGGGAGGGAGTCATAAAAGCTCATCTTGCCGGTAAGCGAGGCGCCTGCCAAGAAAAAACAAAAGAAAACAAAACAAAAGAACGGGAGAGATGAAAGATAAAGGGGAAGACCGTTGGCAGGAAGAGAAACACCAAAGAGTCTCTCGCACAACAGATCCCCCGACACCCGTACGCCGGTCGTGGAACACTCGCTTCTGGAAGGTCAAGGAAAAGAAGAAACGAGAGCAAGGGTGGGACGTCAACAGAGCAATCAAGGGTCAACCAAGCCTTTCAAGATGGAAGGACAGAGTGGACCTCGGCTTGCTTTTCCGCTGCACCTCAACGGCCTCTTCCCAATCCCTTTGGACGGGGCGTTGTTTACTGGTCGTTCAACGTTACAATGGATTGAAAAAAAAATGACCGTTTTGGTTTTGTTTTTTTTCACACGGACAGCCATCCCCATGGTCGCGTGATCAAAATTCGGAGGCTCGGCAACTGGCATGGACGTACGACGGTTGCAGCATCCCAAGGTTCACGTGATCCCCTTCTGGCAAGCGAAGCCCACGGGGGAAGCCGGATTCACTTAGCAACAGTGTTACCCACTTAACAACTGCAGTAATGCGTTTATCAACGGCAGCAAGAAGGGGCATAAAATGGAGCAGAACCCACTTCCCAAATGTCTCACTTAGCGAAATAAATCGTAAGCAGAGGGCTGCTTGTGTTGAACATTTCAAGTGCAAAAAAGTGTTTTCCAAAAAGGGATAAGCCCTCCTATTTCTGAAAGTAGAGATGAGAAAATAGAATAGAGCTGGAAGGGACCTTGGAGGTCTTCTAGTCCAGCCCCCCGCTCAAGCAGGAGAACCTATACCGTTTCAGACAACTGATTGAATAGTCTTTTCTCAAAAATTATGGTTTTGTTTTTCTTTCTTTCTTTTCTTTCTTTCCTTCCTTCCTTCCTTCCTTCCTTTCTTTTAGAATAGAATAGAGCAGAGCTGGAAGGGACCTTGGAGGTCTTCTAGTCCAGCCCCCCACTCAAGCAGGAGAACCTATACCGTTTCAGACAACTGACTGAATAGTCTTTTCTCAAAAATTATGGTTTTGTTTTTCTTTCTTACTTTTCTTTTTCTTTCCTTCCTTCCTTCCTTCCTTCCTTTCTTTCTTTTAGAATAGAATAGAGCAGAGCTGGAAGGGACCTTGGAGGTCTTCTAGTCCAGCCCCCCGCTCAAGCAGGAGAACGTATACCATCTCAGACAACTGACTGAATAATCTTTTCTTAAAATCATGATTTTATTTTTATTTTTTTCTTTCTCTTTTTCTTTCTTCTTCCTTTCTCTTTCTTTTTATTTTTCTTTCTCTCTCTCTCTCTCTTTTTCTTTCTCTTTCTTTCTTTCTTCTTCCTTTCTCTTTTTTATTTTTCTTTTTTTTTCTCTCTCTCTCTCTTTCTTTCTTTCTTTTAGAATAGAATAGAGCAGAACTGGAAGGGACCTTGGAGGTCTTCTAGTCCAACACCCCGCTCAAGCAGGAGAACCTATACCATCTCAGACAAGTGATGTTTGAGATGGTATACAATGGATGTTCTCCATTTCAGGACAGTCAAAGTAAGCTATGGCGCTCAACCTCCCACCTCTTGTTTTTATTTGGCAAGAAAGCTTGGGAGATCAAGGTGGACCCCAGAAACCTTGTTCAAAGAGTGTTCTACACCTGCCTGCCCTTCCTCCCCACCCCACCCGTTAATTTACTTGTAGATTAAAGGTGAGAGGGGAATCCTGGCCAGGCATTTGAAGGGCAGAGACAGGCATTTGAAGGGCTGACCATTGTCTTATGGTGTCATCTGCTGGCTGAATATATTATTGCTGTAAGAATGCACAGTCCTGATTGCAACGAAGAAGAGTATTTGTGTAGCTCAGGGTTGAAATGAGGAGTTCTTGGTGCTCTCTGAGCTGGGTGGTTTTCTTGCAGGCGTTTCATGAGCCAAACTAGATAACATCATCAGTGCTAGAAGGGAGTAGGGATTGTGGAATGATGATGGAGGAGGAGGAGGAGGAGGAGGAGGAGGAGGAGGAGGAGGAGGAGGAGGAGGAGGAGGAGGAGGAGGAGGAGGAGGAGGAAGAAGAAGGCTGGGGGGAATTTTGGGAGCTGAAGTCCACACGTGGTAAAAGTTGCCAAGTTTGGACACTCCCCCACACCTTAAAGGATGAATACGCTAAACATTTTATATAACCATATAAATGTCAACATCAGTATGACGTGGTGTGGTGTGTGAAGTTGTCTTACAACAAGGAAGAGTAGAAATTAAGTAGCTTTTTAGAGAAAGGAGAACATGAGCAGCTCCACTGATAAGATGTAAGAGATCTCAGTCTTCCAGTATCTCAGGGGCTGCCCCAAAGAAGAGAGAGTCAAGCTATTCTCCAAAGCCCCTGAAGGCAGGACAAGAAGCAACGGATGGAAACTCATCCAGGAGAGAAGCAACCTAGAACTAAGGAGAAACTTCCTGACAGGGAGAACAATTAACCAGTGGAACCACCTGCCTCCAGAAGCGCTGAATGCTCCAACACTGGAAGTTTTAAAGGGACTAGACAGCCATTTGTCCGAAATGGTATAGGGTTTCCTGCCTGAGCAGGGGGTTGGACTAGATGACCTCCAAGGTCCCATCCAATTCTGTTGTTATTGTTGTTGTTGTCCCTTCCAATTCTATTGTTGTTATATTATTATTATTATTATCATCATCATCAATATCATTATCATTATCATTATCATCATCATCATCATCATCTCACCTGAGGTGGTGGACAATGAGATGGATGGTCCACCTAGGGCCCCGGAATAGGTCACAGCTGCAGTCTCAGGCTGATTGTTTGCAAGGTCAGGCAGCTGAGTCACAGCCAACACAGTTGTGCTGTAAGGAAAGGAAAACACAACGACTAGAAGGCAACATCTAAGCACCTTTTCTGCAGCCTGTTATTGGACTTCCTTGCCTATTGTGGAGAACAGAATCCTCTCTCTTCTTAGCAAGGGATCCCCTGGAGAACCCCAAGAAAGAACAAGATAGTTCCTCTTTAACCAGGCTAGTTTCTCAACTAGGATCGGGACAGCAATGCCCTCATTTTGCTCCATGCCAGAATGAAATTATTTGGTCATTCAGGAAGGATTAAATGCATCCCCCTTGTGCGTTTCCTTTAAAATCAGATTTTAAAATGCTCGTCCCGCTGACGGTAACAGAACCACCTCGGAAGAGGCAGTAGGTTTAACATGCCATCAGCCAGAGTTAGTTACTGATGAGGTTACGTAGTTTGGTCAGGAAACGTCTGCAAGAAAATCTACCAAGCACCAAGGACCCCAGAGTCAGTTACTGGGAGATCTGCGCCCCAGCTTGGTGGCACAGATTATGCTCAAAGGGATGAATAAAACTTAAGCAGAATTGGGCCAGTGGGATGTAAAGAAGGCCATCTAAAGATACTAAAGGTAGCAAAAGGGCTTCTTCAGCACTCTATCAAAATAATGAAGTGCTTGGCAGCTCTAAGACTAATAAAGGAGAATATTTGCAGCTCAGGGTTGAAATGACGTTGCAGATGTTTCATGACCTAACTAGGTAACATTATCAGTGCTAGAAGGGAGTAGGGTTTGTGGAATGGAGGAGGAGGAGGAAGAGGAGGAGGAGGAGGAGGAGAGGAGGAGGACGACAACGACAACGACGACTGTGGGCTCCTTGGTGCTCTCTGAGTTTGCTTGTTTTCTTGCAGACTTTTCATGACCCAACTAGGTAACATTATCAGTGCTAGAAGGGAGTGGGTTTTCTGGAATGATGGAGGAGGAAGAGGAGGAGGAAGACGACGACTGTGGGGTCCTTGGGGCTCTCTGAGCTTGCTGGTTTTCTTGCAGACGTTTCACGACCCAACTAGGGAACATCATCAGTGCTAGTGAACTAAAACTGGACTAGCACTGGTGATGCCACCTAGTTTGGATAATGAGAGGTCTGCAAGGAAACAAATAAGCTCAGAAAGCACCACAGATCCCTCAGAAGCAGGACCTGCTCACCCTTGCGGCATTCGCTGGGGATCCACTGGCAGAGCAGGTGCTGAGAGAGAATATTTCTTATTGTTCTTCACCGTCAACTTTTCGATTTTTCTCCACTTGGCTCGGCGATTTTGGAACCAGACCTAAGAAAAAAGGGGAAGTCCTTAGCATTTAGCAATAGCACTTAGACTTATATACCGCTTCACCGTGCTTTACAGCCCTCTCTAAGCGGTTTACAGAGTCAGCCTATTGCCCAACAATCTGGGTCCTCATTTCACTGGCCTCGGAAGGATGGAAGGCTGAGTCAACCTTCAACCGGTCAGGATCGAACTCCTGGCAGTGGGCAGAGTCAGCCTGCAATACCGCATTCTCACCACTGCGCCACCATGGCTTAGATAGCGATAGCACTTAGACTTATATACCGCTTCACAGTGCTTTACAGCCCTCTCTAAGCAGGTTTACAGAGTCAGCCTCTTGCCCCCCAACAATCTGGCTCCTCATTTTACCAACCTCGGAAGGATGGAAGGCTGAGTCAACCTTGAGCTGGTCAGGATCAAACTCCTGGACAGTGGGCAGAGTTTGTCTGCAATACTGCATTCTTAGATAAGTCTAAGGGCCGTTGCTGTTGCTTCTGCAGTTCAGCAGGACGGAACTCACCATAATTCGCTGGGGCGTCACACCAACCGAGGCCGCAATTTCTTGGCGCTTCTCGTTGTCAGGATAATGATCTTCTTGGAACATTTTCTCCAATTCCTGTAGCTGTTCTGGAAATGAGGACATCCATTAACAAAATAATGTGACAAAGGAACTAGGAGGGAGGGGAACAGAACCAAAGAATTAGGGAAAGACATATGCCCAGCTTGAAAATACGTCTGGTAATATTAATTGACTTTAAAATGCACGGACCTTTAAAATACACACAGACTTTAACGTCTCACCAAGACAACCACATTTTTCTCTCCCTTTATGTCCCGTGGCCCAAAGATCTCACAATGGGGGGTAAGGGGGGTAGCTGACGAGCTGACAAAGCCGCCAAGAGAGCAGAGCAGGGGGTAACAGAATGGAAAGATAACTTCGATGCAGAAATAGGGCAAGAGTTAAGATGGTGGGCTTGTTGGCTGGAAAGTTTGAGACCCGAGCGTCACGTGGAAAGGGTGAGCTCCCGTTCCTCGCCTCAGCTCCTGGCAACTTAGCCGTTCGAAAGCGTGCAAATGCGAGTAGATAAATAGGTACCACTTCGGGGGGGAAGGTAACAGCACTTGGGTGTCATGGCTGGCCATGTGACCGCGGAAATGTCTTCAGACAGAGCCGACTCAGTGGCCTTGAAATGGAGAGAAGCACCACCCCCTCTAATTGGAAATGACTTGCGGAGTAAAATCCGCAGGGACTCCTTTTTATATTAAAAGAACCGTTAAGGCAGGGGTTCTCAACCTTAGCAACTTTAAGACTTGTGGACTTCAACTCCCAGAATTCCTCAGCCAGCAAAGCTGGCTGAGGAATTCTGGGAGTTGAAGTCCACAAGTTTTATAGTTGCCAAGGTTGAGAACCCCTGCGTTAAGGGGAAGTAAACAACTCCTGGGAAAAGAGGAAGGCGTGGGAACAAAACAAACTGGCTGAGGAACTCTGGGAGTTGAAGTCCACAAGTTTGGAGAATCCCGCCCTGTAACAATAAAGTAGCATTTCTGAAATCCTAGAAGGGTCTGACTCCTGACCTGCCTGCCTTAAAGAGCTGAGAGGAGTAGATAACCTTCGGTCTTCCAGCTCCTTTAGATCTTTTCTACTGGCCACCTGGGTGGAAATTTGTACGGCTGAGTGCATAGTTGGTTTTTCCAAACTACAAGGTCAAGGTTGGGCTGGGAAAAAAAATTGTGCTGTGCAGGATGGGATAAGGAATTAGTTTTTGAAACTAAAATAAACTCAAAGCAGTTCGAAAAGGTTGCTAAGAGCTGGAGGAGACGAACATTACTTCTGATTGCAAGTATTCATCTGCTCTACAAAGTGAGTAGGCACACCTAGAAACTAGAAGAAACCAAGAGCCCTAGAAGTACAAGGAAAGCAGGCGAAAGTGGCTGCGTTCCAAGACCTTCTGCTCAAATGGGAGAATACAGATAGTCCTTGACTTACAACAGTTCATTTAGTGACCGTTCAAAGTTACAATGGCATTGAAAAAAGTGACATAGGGCCGTTTCCCCCCACTTATGACTGTTGCAGCACCCCAGATCAAAATCCAGATGCCTGGGAACAGACTCATATTCATGACAGTCGCAGTGTCCTCGAGACATGTGATTGATCCTCTTTTGCGGCCTTCAGACAACCAGAGTCAACGGGGGAAGGCAGATTCAGTTAACTATCACGTTACTAAATTGACAACCGCAGGGATCCACTTAACAAGGAACGTCGTAAAAATGAGGCAACGTTCACAAGCAATGTCTCCCCTCAGTAAGCAAAATTTGGACCTCAGCTGTGCTCGTGAGTCGTGGACTCCCCGTAGTACCCAACCGGCCACGATTTACTCTTCGCAACTTACTAGCATTGTAGAACGTACGCGTTTTCTTCCGAGCAGGTGGAGCAGACTCTCCGGAAACGTCTAGCAAACCGGGATCTCTCTTGTCCTGAATCCCACCCAGACTGCCTTTGGGCACTAGAAGCGAAGAGAGCCTGAAGGAGGACTGGTCCACTCTAACCGCTGTAGCACATCTGGCTGACCTGCGTGTGCAATGGCCCAAGTTGAGGTTCTGGTTGACATCTGGATTTTGTATGTTCTCCAGCACCACCCAAGAAGCATTTTGGGAACCCCGTGGGAGAACCCTCCTGGCTTTCTTTTTCGTGGTCTGCTTTTGTGTCACATTCAAGCTGCCCAAGTCTACTTTTTCTTCTGATTTTGAAGGGTCCCCAAGTTCTGGCTTGTGTTCAGTTTCAGAAATAGGGGGATCCGGGTTGACATCGCCGAAGTAGGCGGTTAAGTTAGAAGTTTGGTAGAACGCAAGGGAAGGAGAATCTAAAGACGATGGTTGTGCCAGATGGGATTCCGGCTTGGGGTCTAGATAGTATTCTCCATCTTCTTCTTCCTCTTTTGAAATTTCAGGACTCCTTTCTTTTTTCAGGATCTTCTCAGATGGATCCTCAAGGATCACAGTAGGACCCAGGGAGCTACTTTCAGCTCTAACCTCATTCAGGAGGTTTTCGTTTTGAACAAACTGTTCCGTGCACAGGAGTGACTCTCTCGCTCCCTTCTCTTCCGGCTCCTCAAATTCATCCTTGCACCCTAATAAAGAAAGGAATCCACGTTGTCGTGAATACAAGCCAACTCAACGACAACAACAAGTTTTCAGTTTTAAAATTCTAAAGTGGGAAGGCAGCGGGAGGAGAGCGAAGACCGGATGAATTAACCCAGCTGCTTAGGCCGAGACCAGGTTTCCGCCCTGTGATCTATTCGACACACGCTGTGATTTGCCCCGAGACGTGGCCAAAATAGCTTGTATAGGCCACGTTCAAATCATCTCCTATCAGAAACCCGAACGCTGAATTAAACATTTAGTGATGAAATTGCAAAAAAAGCACCATCTTCAGGAAACCCCTTTGGGGGTCAGAACAGAAGCTGAATAGCAATAGAACTTAGAACTTATATACTGCTTCACAAGGCTTTACAGCCCCCTCTGAGCAGTTTACAGAGTCAGCATATTTGGCCCCAACAATCCAGGTCCTCATTTTACTGACCTTGGAAGGATGGAAGGCAGAGTCGAGTCAACCTGGAGCTGGCCAAGATCGAACTGCTGGCAGAGGGCAGAGTTTGCCTGCAATGCTGCATTCTCACCACTGTGCCACCAGGAAGGACAATGAGAAAGGGAATAAGAGAGGAATGAGAAGGAAGGAAGTAAGGGAGAGAGGGAGGGAGGGAAGGAAGGAAGGAGGGAAAGGGAGGGAGGGAGGGAGGGAGGGAGGAAGGAAGGAAGGAAGGAAGGAAGGAAGGAAGGAAGGAAGGAAGGAAGGAACAGCAATAACATTTAGACTTAGACTGTTCCTAGTAAAGCTGCCTTTTGCAACGTACTGATGGTGAATTTGTCTGTTATTATCATTATTATTGTTGTTTTGTTGTTGTTGTCATTATTATTTACATTACAAAGCAATATGCATGGAATTCACTCTCTCCTGCTAAAGATAAACTGGCCTGCTGGATGTAATAATGACACATCTTTGCTGCTTTTCAGTGGGTGGGGCAAGATGAGGAATATGGATGAGGGGGTTGGTCAGAAAGGTCAAGATGGCCGCTGGGCCCATATGATGGAAGCTCCACCCTTTTTATGTGCATTGCCTAGGTGTCACATGTAAAGCAGGAACGGGAGTGTTGACTGCCCGGATGCACACGTACACACCCTGTTGGCTTTTTTTTTTTTTTACCCTGAAAGGGTTAAATGCACATTGTCTGCCATCCCATTCTTAGAGAGGCACCCTTCAGCTTCCGGTCTCAGAGACCCCGGCTCCTTTGAAAGAAGGGAAATTGGAAATTGCAAAGGAATAAACAAAACAAAACAATCCTAGAACATGCAATTATAGAATAGAATAGAATAGAATAGAATAGAATAGAACAGAACAGAACAGAACAGAATAGAATAAGGAACAGAATAGAATAAGGAACAGAACAGAACAGAATAGAACATGAAATGGAGAGAAGAGAAGAGAACAGAAGAGAAGAGAAGATGAAATGGAGAGAATAGAATAGAATAGAATAGAATAGAACTAGAAGGGACCTTGGAGGTCTTCTAGTCCAGCCCCCTGCTCAAGCAGAAGAACCTATACCGTCTCAGACAAGTGACTGTCTAGCCTCTTCTTCAAAACCTCCAGTGATGGAGTGCCCACGATTTCTAGTAGCAAGCTGTTCCACTGGTTAATTGTCTCACTGTTAGGAACTTTCTCCTTAATTCCAGGTTGCTTCTCTCTTGGGTCAGTTTCCAACCATCGTTTCTTGTCCTGCCTTCAGGCCCTTTGGAGAACAGCTTGACCCCCCCCCCCGGGTGAGTGGGCCCCCTGTCCAGAGGCTTATGTGGCCTGCCTGGGCCTGAGCCTTGGGCCTTCCAGGGGAGAAGAGTCCATGGGCTCCCCCACCCCACCTCCTGCCCACACAGGGCTCCTTCTGCAACCTTCCTCTACAACAATCCTGCAAGGTAGGCCAGGCTGAGAAAGGAAGGTGGGCACAGAGTTCCCCCCCCCGAATCCTTCACCAGTAGCCACCCCCCTACACACACACACACACACACACACACACACACACACACACACACACACGTGGCTTTAGGAAATACATGGAACAGAAAGGTTGATACAATGACTAAAAAAATCTTTCCTGGCCAGCCAAAACCGTGGCTTGAGACGGGAGCAATATGTCGACTGTGTAAAATGCTTGCAAAGTGCTGTAAAACACGACGAAGCGGTGGATAAGTCTGTCGCCCTTTGCACAGATGGAAGAGAGAAAAAAAAATAGCTCTTCCTCCAATCTAGTCGATTATCCCCTTGAAGGGAAAAAAAGTTGTTGTTTTTTTTCTTCTTGCAACACAAGCAGGCTCTCCAAGGCTCCCCGTCCCACGCTGAGCCGCGGCTGGCTTAATCAGGGCTTCCCAAACAAACCACGCTGCGCTTCGTCGGATTCCCCACGGATTCCCCTATTAAGCCGCGATTCGGGCTTTGCAAGGAAAGCATTGGGGGGGGGGTTCGCATAGTGCAGAAAGCCCAGCCCGCCCCAAGGGAAGCCAAGCCCACCGGCCTCCCTGCCACGGGGCGGGGGTCCCTTTTGGAAGACCGGCCCCAACGCACAGCCCCCTAGGGGGCTCAGCTCTTTGTGGGTGTATGGGTGGGTGTGGGTGGGTGGGGTCTTGTGGCCCCCGGCTGCAAAGCGGAGCCCCTTTCCCAAGGGGAGCAAACCTGGTTAGCCAAAGCGCGCCGCGCCTCCTTTCCAAAGGGGACGGGCGCAGGGGGGGGGTCTTTGGGGAGGAGACGGGGCAAGGAGGGGCAGGTGCGCCCCTCGCCCAGACCGGCCTTTCGGGGGGGCCCCGGCGGGGAAAGGGGGGGCCCGGGGCCCTTTGCCTTACCCGCGTCCTGCCCGGCGCGCCTCTCCATCGCCAGCCCGTCCCCGCGTGCGCGCAGCAGCAGCAGCCGGGAAGCCCGCGAGATACGACCCCGCGGCCAGGCGGCGCCAGAGGCAGGCCTGGGACCCGGCGGGAGTCCTCATTAAGGCCAGCTGGCGGGCCCAGCCAGATGCGCCGGTCTGGGAAGGCGGCTCGCCCTCCTGGCTAGCGCTGCGCGGCGGCTGCAGGTGGCCGAGCTGGGGTTGGGGGGGACGGGCCGCCGGGAACTTGCCCCGGGTCGGGCTGGTGGGGGGGAGGAGGAGGGGGGTCAGACTAGATGACCTTCAAAGGTCCCTTCCCAACTCTCGCTATGCTGTCTTATGCTGCAAAGACTTTGCCAGCCGGCCTTCCCGCGCTCCGCGCTTGGAAAGCTGCCTTTTCGGCCCTCTCGGCTGCGCGCAAGCAGGGCGCCTCTGCGCGGTTCTTAGTCCGCTGGGGATCGCGCCCGGCTGAACCCAACCCTGCTTTTCCCGTCTTCGGAAGAAGAGCTTTTTTAGGTAGCTGTATGGGGGGGGGGGGTCAAATCAGGACGTCTGGATGGGATTTTTTTTCCCCTCGGGTCTGCCCCCCCGTTTCTCCCTGGGTTTAACGTTTAACGGGTTGGATCCGCCAGACGGGATGCGCGCGGTTAGGAGAGCCGCGCAAATATGGATCGCTCGAGATCCTGGACACAAAGGCAAGCAGGATGCTAATTTCAGAACCAGAGGCAACCCAGTCGAATCCAGCGGTGTGGACCTTAACAACACCTTTTCTGCTCGCCCAGGAATGTTGCACCCAATGAAGGGGATCCTGGTGGATCTCCGGAAAATCAAGCAACCTTGAAAGGGATATACAGGTTTTCCTCGGTTTATAACCGTTCCTTTAGTGACCGTTCAAATCTTTTTTTAAAAAGTGAGTTCTGATCATTTTTTTTCCACACTGATGATTGTTGCAGCATCCAGGCAGTCAGGTGATCAAAATTCGCTGGGCAACCGGCCTGTGTTTATGACGGTAGCTGTGTCCGACGCGACCACCTTTCGCGGCCTTTCAAGGGGCAAGCTAGGTTCATTTAACGACCCTCTTACTTAACAAGCGTGGCAAGAAAGGGCATAAAATGTGTGTTGTGTGTGTGTGTGTACACTTGGAGAGCAAGCAACTAAATTTCATCTTTAAGGTGTGCCATTGTGCCCACAGTAAAAAAAAAAGGAATAAAGATTATCTCTATCATCTATCAATCATCTATCTATCTATCTATCTATCTATCTATCTATCTATCTATCTATCTATCATCTATCTATCCTAATCTATCTTTCTATCATTTATCATCTTTCTCTCTCATCCATCAACTCTATCTCTCTATCTAATCTATCTATTTTATCTATCTAATTATCTAACTATATTATCTATCTTATCTATCTACTATTTATCATCTGTCTGTCTGTCTATTATCTATCTTATCTATCTATTTTATTTATCTAATTATCTAACTATCTTATCTATCTACTGTCTGTGTCTGTCTGTCTATCTACTGTCTGTCTGTCTGTCTGTCTGTCTATCTATCTATCTATCTATCTATCTATCTATCTATCTAAAATAGGGCAAAATTCACTTAATAATTGCTTTGCATAACCACAGAAGCATTGGGCTGGATGGCGATTGTAATTTGAGGGATTATCTACTTAGATGGAAGGCTGCGGGAAATCCCAGTTTGCTAATAGCTAGAATTTCTCAACAGAAACCTCTGCCTGATCCAATATCTCTGGATCTCCTGTGGATCTCCACTTTGCTTGTCAAAAGGTCACAAAAGGGGATCACCGTTCCAGGTTCGGACAACATGTTTTAACTATTGGAAAGACGCAGTTAAGGAGCTGTCTAAGGACAGGGTTAAGGTGGCGCAGACACGTGTTCACATTGCACTAAACCAAGGATGGCGAACCTTTTAGAGACCGAGTGCCCAAAATGCAACCCCAAACCCACTTATTTATTGCAAAGTGCCAGGGCTGCATCAGCATTCTGGTGCTCTCAGGGAGAGCGGGGGAGCGTGGCCCATTGGGCCTAGCTGTGGTGGTCACAGCTGTGGTCACGTCAGACTGGGTGGGCATGGCTGCGGTGGGTGGGCTAGGACCAGGGTGGCGGGGACCAATGCCGCTTGCTCACTCACTTCCTGCCCCATCACTTCCAAACGCCACGTGCCCCCTATTCTGGTGAACTCTGCTGGGGCAACGGCGTGCGTGCCCACAGAGACGGCTCTGAGTGCCGCCTCTGGCACACGTGCCATAGGTTCGCCACCACTGCACTAAGCCAAGATCAACTTTAACAGGCTTTCTGAACGCCCCACACTTGGGCCAAGGCAAAAACCAACATTGTTTGCTTTACTGCGATGCGTGAACCCATTTTTCAATTTCGGCACGTCTCAAAAACAGCCTTGGAGAAGGAAGGCCAAGAGTACCGTATATGTATTCCGGTGTATAGGGCGACCCGGTGTATAAGAAGACCCCCGAGTTCGACACTGAGTCACAAGACGATCGATGCCAAGTCGCATGCCTAGAAAGTCGTCTTATACGCCGGAAACTACAGGTATTTCCAGCGTATAAGATAATTGACGCCGAGTCGTATGCCTAGAAAGTCGTCTTATACGCCGGAAACTACCGGTATTTCCAGCGTATAAGACAATCGACGCCGAGTCGTATGCCTAGAAAGTTGTCTTATACGCTGGAAACTACATTATTTCCAGCGTATAAGACCATCGACGCCGAGTCGTATGCCTAGAAAGTTGTCTTATACGCTGGAAACTACCGGTATTTCCGGCGTATAAGATGATCGACGCCGAGTCGCATGCCTAGAAAGTCGTCTTATATGCCGGAAACTACATTATTTCTGGCGTATAAGATGATCGACGCTGAGTCGTATGCCTAGAAAGTTGTCTTATACGCCGGAAACTACCGGTATTTCCGGCGTATAAGATGATCGACGCCGAGTCGCATGCCTAGAAAGTCGTCTTATATGCCGGAAACTACATTATTTCTGGCGTATAAGATGATCGACGCTGAGTCGTATGCCTAGAAAGTTGTCTTATACGCTGGAAACTACCGGTATTTCCGGCGTATAAGACGATCGACGCCGAGTCGCATGCCTAGAAAGTCGTCTTATATGCCGGAAACTACGTTATTTCCGGCGTATAAGACAATCGATGCTGAGTCACATGCCTAGAAAGTCGTCTTATACGCCAGAAACTACCTTATTTCCAGTGTATAAGACGACCCCTGAGTTTGGTGCCTGTTTCAACGCTCTCAAAAGTCGTCTTATACGCCAGAATATACGGTAAATGGCTTGAAAATTTGGAGTTTTGTTATTATGCTTGCTGATAGCAGCCAGAATCTTCTAGGCAGAAAGAAGGAAAGACGGGCCAATTCCCACAAGGGAAGAGTAGATGGTAAAAGTGATGCAGAGATGGCCAAACAGGCTGCTTTAATTAGAGGGAAGAATTGATCTAGTTTTCTTTCCAGAATCATAGGGCTGAAGGAGGCCTTGGAGGTCTTCTAGTCCAACCCCCCCTGCCTTTATTATTCAACTTTGGAAACCGCTTCTGAACTTTTTGCTTGCAACTGGAAAAAAAGACACTTTGATTTTAGGTTTCCAAGGAGGAGAGCGATTTCGTTGTGGGAGAAATGACTTGGCATGTTGCAAAAGGTAAAGCAAAAAAGCCGAGAGGAGGTTGCGTTTCTTTTTTTCTTGTACATTGAAAAAAAATGGGAAGTTACTCCTTTTTTTCCTCTCCTTTGCACCTTTCTCCTCCTTTCTTTTGCTTTTCTAACTCTTGTTTTCTTTTGTATTTTTATCTCATAATAAAAAAAAATTAAAAAAGAAGAAAGGGCAATGGTAAAAACCACTGGGTTTTTTTTTAAATAGAACAACAGAGTGAAAAGGGACTTTGGAGGTCTTCTAGTCCAACCCCCTGCTCAGGCAGGAAACCCTATACCATTTCAGACAAATGGCTGCCCAGTCTCTTCTTAAAAGCTTCCAGTGTTGGAGCATTCACCGCTTCTGGAGGGAGGTTATTCCACTGGTTAATTGTCCTCACTGTCAGGAAATTTCTCCTTAGTTCTAGCTTGCTTCTTTCCTTGATCAGTTTCCAGTTGTTGTTTCTTCTTTTGCCTTCTGGTGCTTTGGAGAATAGCTTGACCTCCCCCCCCCCTTCTTTGTGGCAGCCCTTCAAATATTGAAACACTGCTATCATGTCGCCCCTGGTCCTTCTCTTCACTAGACTATCCATGCCCAATTCCTGCAGCCATTCTTCATTTTGTCGTCATTCTGTTCCTTTAATACCACCCAGTAAGCAGGAATTAAGGTAAAGCTTTCCTAGTGATCAAATCAAGTGTTTCCCTTGAGAAATGTGTGTGTTTGTGTGTATGCATAATGAGAGATTTTATCTTCCTGGGCTCCAAGATCACCACAGATGGGGACTGCAGCCAGGAGATGCTTGCTCCTGGGGAGGAAAGCTATGGCAAATCTAGACAGCATACTAAAAAGCAGAGACATCACCCTGCCAACAAAAGTGCGTATAGTCCAGGCCATGGTTTTCTCAGTTGCAATGTATGGCTATGAAAGTTGGACCATAAGAAAGGCTGAGCGCCAAAGAATGGAGGCCTTTGAACTCTAGTGCTGGAGAAGACTCCTGTGAGTCCCCTGGACTGCAAGGCGATCCAACCGGTCAGTCCCGGAGGAGATCAACCCCGACTGCTCTTTAGAAGGCCAGATCCTGAAGTTGAAACTCAAGGACTTTGGCCACCTAATGAGAAGGAAGGACTCCCTGGAGAAGAGCCTAATGCTGGGAAAGATGGAGGGCAAGAGAAGAAGGGGACGACAGAGAATGAGGTGGTTGGATGGAGTCACTGAAGCAGGAGGCGTGAGCTTAAATGGACTCCAGAAGATGGTAGAGGACAGGAAGGCCTGGAGGAACGTTGTCCGATGGGTCGGACATGACTTCGCAACTAATAACAACAACAAAGCTTTCCTAGTGAACAAATCAAGTGTTTCCCTTGGGAAATGCCTGTGTTTGTGTGGATGCATAACGAGAGGGGTTTGACGTAGCCAAGTGTTTCTTGATAGGAATATTACTGGCATGAGCTAAAATGGAAAGACGAGACCGTTTCCTCCTAATACCGCAAAGTGTATTTTTTTTCCCCCTCTACTGCATTCTGCTAGACAGTTCAAAGCACGTTCAAATATTAACATTTTAGCCTCACATCTTTCTGTGAGGTGGGCAGAGCTGAAGCGACCTCCCTGGTCAGCGGGTCTGTGCATTTAAACGAGTCGGAGCAAAGAATCAGCTTCTCTCCGAAGGTCCCTGTTTGTTTCTTTGGCTCTTTCTTCTCTGCAGATCCTCCCAGGAAAAACCGTGTCTCCTGTTTTTACCAGCACAGGGGACAGACTGGTACAACCTATTCCAGTAACACCAGTTTGTGCTTTGGCCCCCTTCCGTCTCATAATTCAACGGGGCCCTTTTAGCCCTTGCAGATCCGGGTAATAATGTCCTCCTGAGTTGAAGAGAGGGGTGGTGGGGTGGGGGTCTTCTGGAGATCCTTATCTCCTGCGAAAGACCTGCTGTTTGGCGTTTTTCACCCGCTGCTCCTCCTTCAGGTTCATCTGTCGGATCTGCTTGCTGGAGATGACCTCCACGTGATCCAACGGAAACCAGCCTCTCTCTCCGTCGGAGAGCTTCACGCCTTTCATCCAGCCTGCAGAAGAGAGATCAAAAGCAAATCGGACGCTCGGCTGGAGAATGAATGGAATTGCAACTTATCTAGTCACCCTAAAAAAAATTGAGCGCCTTAAGGCACATTTTACCCTGATGTAGAGGATAGCAATGGCGACAGCGCTTAGATTTGTGTACCGCTTCACAGTGCTTTTACAGCCCTCTCTAAATGGTTTACAGAGTGAATCTATTGCCCCCACAACAATCTGGGTCATTTTACCGACCTCAGAAGGATGGAAGGCTGAGTCGACCTTGGGCCGGTCAGGATCAAACTGCTGGCAGTGGGCAGAGTCAGCCTGCAGTACTGCATTCTCACCACTGCGCCACCACAGCTTAGATAGCAATAGCACTTAGATTTGTATACTGCTTCACAGTGCTTTTACAGCCCTCTCTAAACGGTTTACAGAGTGAATTGATTACTCCCCAACAATCTGGGTCATCATTTTATCGACCTCAGAAGGATGGAAGGCTGAGTCGACCTTGGGCCGGTCAGGATCAAACTGCTTGCAGTGGGCAGAGTCAGCCTGCAATACTGCATTTTAACCACTGCGCCACCACAGCTTAGCAATAGCACTTAGTTTCGTATACCGCTTCATAGTGCTTTTACAGCCCTCTCTAAACGGTTTACAGAGTGAATCTATTGCCCCCCCAATAATCTGGGTCGTCATTTTACCGACCTCAGAAGGATGGAAGGCTGAGTGGACCTTGAGCAGGTCAGGATCAAACTGCTGGCGGTGAGCAGAGTCAGTCTGCAATACTGCGTTCTCATCACTGCGCCACCATGTCTTAGATAGCTATAGCCATACCACTTCACAGTGCTTTACAGCCTTCTCTGAGCAGTTTACACAGTCAGCCTATTGCCCCCCAACAATCAGAATTCCCCCCCCCCCGACCTCCGAAGGATGGAAGGATGGGTAAACTCACCGTCACTGCTTTGCTGCAAGGCCATGATGATGTCAGCTTTCTCCAGAGTCAGCTCATCGTGCTCTCGCGCCTTGTAGGATTTCACGCACTGCACCTGGGGGGCATCTGGAAATGTGATGGGAGGCAGGGGTGGTCATTTGGGGAAAATTAAGCTAGTCCAAAGTGGGTTTTGGTTAGTACAAGTTAGCTCTCCTTTTCTACGTCACGTAATAAAAGACAATCAAAAGTCAAGATGATTGACGCAGATTAAAATATTTATCATAAAACATTTAGCCCTATTTCACACCCTGGCATTCCACACTGATGGGCCACGGTTTTCTAGATTCTGTTTTCAACCACCTTAAAATCTAAAATTGTGAGTCTCGGTGCTTTTGTTTTCATGGAAGTTTGCTTTCAGGAAGAGCGCTGTCCATAGGAAGGCTGTCAAAAGTCAAGAGGGCAACCCGAATTGGACAACAAAAGCCACAACCTCTTTTTCCCGTGCATTGCATTGTAGCTTACGATTGCCCATTAATTCATTACCCAACTAGGTAACGTCATCAGTGCTAGAAGGGTTTGTGGAATGATGGAGGAGGAGGAGGAGGAGGAGGAGGGGGGGGGAGAACTGTGGGGTCCTTGGTGCTCTCTGAACTTGCTTGTTTTCTTGCAGACATTTCATGACCCAACTACATAACATCATCAGTGCTAGAAGGGAGTAGGGTTTGTGGAATGATGGAGAGGAGGAGGACGACGACGACTGTGGGGTCCTGGGTGCTCTCTGAGTTTGCCTGTTTTCTTGCAGACATTTCATGACCCAAACTAGGTAACATCATCAGTGCTAGAAAGGAGTAGGATTTGTGGAATGATGGAGGAGGAGGAGGGGGGGACGAGGAAGAAGAGGAGGAGGAGGAGAAGGAGGTTGTAGCTCAGGGTTGACCTATGGGGTCCTTGGTGCTCTCTGAGCTTGGTGGTTTTCTTGCAGACATTTCATGACCCAGACTAGGTAATATCATCAGTGCTAGAAGGGAGGAGGGATTGTGGAATGATGGAGGAGGAGGAGGGGGAAGAGGAGGAAGAAGAGGAGGAAGAAGAGGATTGTGGAGTCTTTGGTGCTCTCTGAGCTTGGTGGTTTTCTTGCAGATGTTTCATGACCCAAACTAAGCGACTTCATCAGCACTGATGATGTTACTGAATTTGGGTCACGAGACATCCGCAAGAAAACCACCCAGCTCAGAGAGCACCAAGGACCCCACAGGTCAACCCTGAGCTACAAATATTCTCCTTTATTGGTTTTATTTGTGCTCTTAGCTTTTTTTTTTTTTTTTTTTTACCAGAATCATCTAACAGGTCAGGTTCCGGCTGTTGTGGCATCAGAGCAGAAATCCATCGCAGTTTCTCACTCCTAGGAAAAGCAAAGAAAGCGATCAGATGGCAAGAAACGCGGATACTCTGTTCCTTGGTTTTCAAACATGCTCGGCTGTGGTTCCCCTGCTGTGCCAAAACCTGGCTTGTTATATCAGCCACATGGGGATATGTTCACAGATCATTCACTATAAATTCCTGGTGCAACAGCTTTATCCTGTTTCCTCCGTTGGAACCCATTGGTGGCAGAACAAACCAAGATGAGCCGGGTTTGCTGATTCATCGGCATTATGGCCAGTATCCCAGTCATTTTTGGTGGCAGTGGATTGCCAGCATTTAGACTTATGTACCGCTTTTACAGCCCTCTCTAAGCGGTTTAGAATCGGTGTATTGCCCACCAACAATCTGGGTCCTCATTTTACCGACCTCGGAAGGACGGAAGGCTGAGTCAACCTTGAGCGGGTCAGGATCGAACTCCTGGCAGTGGGCAGAGTCAGCCTGAAATACTGCATGCCTGGCTGAGGAATTCTGGGAGTCGAAGTCCCCAAGTCCTAAAAGGGCCAAGTTTGAAGACCCCCTGATTTAAAGAAGAGGTTTTGGTGCTGCTCCGACTTGGTGGTTGTGTAAATCTAGCTTCTCCTGTAAAACTGAGCTGGGCGCTGAGTGCGAGTCTTACTGCGTTTCCGTGCGGAAGAGGAACTCCACTTTCTTGCCCTGATTGTTCTGCAGCAGGAAAAGGCGGAAAAGGTTTTTGTTGTCGCCGTGCAGTTTCATTTCACACTTCTCCCCGCGCACGTGCGAGGAGGCGGCGTAATCAAAAACGATGAAGCGCCCGTTCCTGCCGGACAAGGAGAGAAAAACAGGGGTCAACCTTCACTGGTTGTTTAATTCCTATTTAAGAAGAAAGGAGAATACAGAAAGAAGTGTACGGGTTTCAGCTTAGCAGAATGACAAAGTTGGGAGGGACCCGGGAGGTCTTCTAGTCCAACCCCCTGCTCAAGCAGGAGACCCTCTACCCTTCTGGACAAATGGTTGTCCAAGCTCTTCTTAAACACCTGCAAGAGTGGGGAATTGGACTAGAAGACCTCCAAGGTCCCTTCCAGCTCTGAAATACTGTTGTTCTGTTAAACCAGTGGAAACCCAGCTGAAGGCCTAGGACTGGGGTGACGACCATAGGTTCACCACCATGGACTAAGGGTTAGGTCACCATGAACTCAGCAAAATGGACATCGCCAACAAATTCGGAGTGCTTGGGTATGGTTAGGAGGGCAGTGACCTTTCTAGGCTGCCCTATCTATGTTTCCTGGTAAAATACATGGGGAAATCCCATTGGAGGAAAATTCCACTTAGGGTTAGGGTTAGGTCAACATGAACTCGTAGAGCAAAATGGACATCGCCAACAAACTCGGAGTGCTTGGGTATGGTTAGGAGGGCACTGACTTTTCTAGGTTGCCCTATCTATGTTTCCTGGTCAAATACATGGGAAAATCCCATTGGAGGAAAATTCCACTTAGGATTAGGGTTAGGTCACCATGGACTCATAGAGCAAAATGGACATCGCCAACAAACCCGGAGTGCTTGGGTATGGTCAGGAGGGCACTGACTTTTCTAGGTTGCCCTATCTATGTTTCCTGGTAAAATACATGGGGAAATCCCATTGGAGGAAAATTCCACTTAGGATTAGGTCACCATGGACTCATAGAGCAAAATGGACATCGCCAACAAACTTGGAGTGCTTGGGTATGGTTAGGAGGGCACTGACTTTTCTAGGCTGCCCTATCTATGTTTCCTGGTCAAATACATGGGAAAATCCCATTGGAGGAAAATTCCACTTAGGATTAGGGTTAGGTCACCATGGACTCATAGAGCAAAATGGACATCGCCAACAAACTCGGAGTGCTTGGGTATGGTTAGGAGGGCACTGACTTTTCTAGCCTGCCCTATCTATCTTTCCTGGGAAAATGCATGGGAAAATCCCATTGGAGGAAAATTCCACTTAGGGTTTCCTGCCTGAGCAGGGGGTTGGACTTGATGACCTCCAAGGTCCCTTCCAACCCCTCCTCCTCCTCCTCCTCATTATTATTATTACTATTATCATCATCATCATCCTCAAGAGAGCAGGTGAAAAGGCTAGCCAAATTCTTCTTTCAAAGAGGCCACAGAGAACTCTCTACGGCCGTCTCCCTTATTGGAAAGAAGAACGTCTGAAGCTGCGGTGAGCCACAGACCCTTCCTGCTTTCTTTGTCTTTGACAGGAGGGTCCAGACAGCTCTGGATTCCTCAGAGACCCACCCCCAAAACTTACTCCCTGGGTCGAGAGAGAAGCAGGTAATCATTGAAAAGATGGAGGTAGATGGGGCGGGTGGTCAGTTTCCACTTCAAGCTGATATTGTACTCCAGAGCTGTAAGCTCTCCGTGTTTCACCAACCGCCGGGACTGCGAGATGAGTGGGAAAATCTGCAAAACGCAAGTAGTCTCCTTTTAGCCGTGTCTTTTTTCTTTTAAAGAAAAAATACAGATCGTCCCCGACTTACAACCGCAATTGACCCACATTTTCTGCTGTTAAACAAGACATTCGTCAACCGTGTTTTGTCCCCATTGTACGAACTTCCTCGTTCAGCAAATCCCTGCGGTTGATAAGTCGGTAACCCGGTTATTAAGTGAATTACAGCCAGTTTGGTGTAGTGGTTAAGGCATCGGGCTAGGAAGCGGGAGATTGCGAGTTCAAGTCTCACCATAGCCATGAAAGCCCAGCTGGGTGACTTTGGGCCAGTCACTCTCTCAGCCGAGCCCACCTCAGAGGGTTTTTATTGTGGGAAAACCAGGAGGGGGTAGGTTCAGTGTCTTGAGTTGTTTGTAAGAAATAATAAAACTGGGATATAAATAAATAACACCCCCCCCCCCAATGCTCTTTTCTTCTGGAAGCACAATTACTGCATAAAACACAAGAAAGGAGTGAGGTGTGGAATTAAAAGCAACAGAACTGAAATGAGCCAGGCGTGTAGCCAAATCTGTGCCAAAGGTGCTTTTCCAAAGATAACTGGACTTTGTTTATTATATCATCATCATCATCATCATCATCTTCCATTGATGAAGCATTCACCACTTCCAGAGGCAGGTTGTTCCACTGATTAATTGTTCTAACTGTCAGGAAGTTTCTCCTTAGTTCCAGGTTGCTTCTCTCCTTGATTAGTTTCCATCCGTTGCTTCTTGTCCTGCCTTCAGGCGCTTTGGAGAATAGCTTGACTCCCTCTTCTTTGGGGCAGCCCCTGAGATACTGGAATACTGTCCCCCCTCGTCCTTCTCTTCATTAAACTGGACATCCCCAATTCCAGCAACCGTTCCTTATATGTTTTAGCCTCCAGTCCCCTCATCATCTTTATTGTTTCATCTCATCTTTTTTCAGTGTCATCAAACGGTCCCTAAACAAAAGTTTGTAAGTCAAGGATTACTACGTATACACAAGAAGGCTGTCAGGGAGGAATTAAGATTTCCTGCCTCCATGAAGGTATCGAGATGAGCAGCATGTACATCTGATAGATAAATCATGAGGAGGCACAGCTTCCTAAAAGATTGTGCCCTCTCCGTGCTCCCGTGACTCACACTCTGGATCTCATGTTACCTACTAGCAGGATTAGGAAATGGGGCCCTCGTGAAGCTCAGAATAAGAGGACCGTGCTTGAAAACCGAAAGCAATTCCAGACAGACTGTTTGGGTGACATCAGAGGATCACATCTGTCCTCAACGTGGCCAACTGCTTCTGCTGAAGGAAACACTCTTGGGTGGATTTGGAGTGACTAAGAGCTCCTTGAGCGAGTGAGTTGAGTAACTTCTGGGAACAGCGCGATTTGGCCGCCTCTCTTATGAAATCCCAAAGCTTGCAACGATTCCTGGAATCGCCCGGCCAATTCAGTTCGACTTTTGTTGACTTCACGGGGACTTTCTGACCGCCTTCACCATTTGATCTGCTCCCTGCTGGTCACCAGGAACTTATACACTTGGGGCACAACTTATGGCCCCCATTGACCCCCCAACTTTCTGTTGCTGAGATGTTTGTTGAGGGAGTTTTGACCCATTTTAGGACCTTTCTCGCCAGAGTTCTTAAGGGATGTTCTTAAGCTGGTAAGTCAGTAAACCCGGTTGTTAAGTGAGGTTGGCTTCCCCCGTTGACTTTGCTTGTCAAAAGGTCACAAAAGGGGATAATGTGACCCCCAGGGGGGACACACGCTGTGACCGTCATAAATCTGAGTCAGTTGTCAAGCATTCAAATATAAATCACATGACCATGGGGATGCTGCAACAGTCCTAACTCTGAAAAATGGTCATATGTCATTTGGACAACTATTTGTCTGAAATGGTATAGGTTTTCTTGCCTAAACTGGGGGTTGGACTAGATGACCTCCAAGGTGCCTTCTAACTCTGTTATTCTATTCTATTCTATTCTATTTTCTATTAATTCTATTCTATTCTGTTTTCTATTAATTCTATTCTATTCTATTTTCTATTAATTCTATTCTATTCTATTCTATTCTAATTTTCTATTCTAATTTTCTATTCTATATTCTATTCCATATTCTATTCTATTCTATTCTATTCTATTCTATTCTCTATTAATTCTATTCTCTATTCTATTTTCTATTTTCTATTCCATTTTCTATTCTATTCTATTCTATTCTGATTCTGATTCTGATTGATTCTGATTCTATTCTTATTCTTTCCTATTCTAAATTCTACAGAAATACCTGTATATTAAATTTGGAGTATTGATCTAGCCCTCATCTACCACTGTGGTCCTGAGAATTCTGTTTGCACCATGAGCTGAAACAAAAGTTAAAAGGATATTAGTTCTGCAAATCTTTAACAAGGGTTTCTGAGTTCCGAAAACCTTTGGGCCTGGGGCATGGGGGAAGATTATATACATCTAGAAGACCTGTGAACCCAAAACAGATTCCTTGCAGGATTTTGTTTCTTTTTCTTTTTACCTTGCACTCAAACTCCATATTTTGACTTAAGTGAATTAATTCTTCGGTGCTCTTCATACGCTGGACGTTTGCATTGCAATCTTTGATGAGCTGTAGAGAGCAAAATGCCATCAGATTAGAAAAAAATAGAAGGGGGAAAATTAGTTGAAAAATCACCAATTTTTACTATGAAAGAATGGATAGATTTGATGGTTGGTTGGAAAGAGGTTGCAACTTCTTTAGCAGGTAGAGGGAAATTATGTATTGTCATTCTCCTTCTCCTGCTTGAGCAGGGGGCTGGACTAGAAGACCTCCAAGGTTCCTTCCAGCTCCTGTTCTGTTCTGTTCTGTTCTATTCTATTCTATATTTCCATTCCATTCCATTCCATTCCATTCTATATTTCCATTCTATTCTATATTTCCATTCTATTCTACTCTACTCTAATAATAATTTTTTATTTTTTATTTTTCCAAACTCTCCCCCATACATATACCATGATATTTATCAGATGTTAACATACATTCTTTTTACATTCATATATATATATAAAATATATAAGATAAAATGAAATAAATACATACACATGACTTTTGGTGTTGCTCGCCCATTTCCCCTTTCACTGTATCCACACTCCTTCTTCTCTACCTTCTTTCTCCCTTTCTTCCCTACTTCCCTCTTCTTCCTCTCCTCTTTCCTTCACCACTCTCCTCCCCTTTCTCCCCACTTCTCCTCTTCTCCTCCAACCTTCCTACTTCCTTCTCCCCTCCTTTACTCTTTTCTCTCTCCTCTCCTTTCTTCCTTCTCATCCCTCTTCAGATACAATTCAGGGGTAATAATTCTATTCTATTCTATTCTATTCATTCTCTATTCTATTCTATTCTGCTCTACTCTACTCTACTCTATTCATTAAATACATTTACATTCAGGGGCACACTAAATACTTTCCTTTCCATTCCTACTCTTACAAAGAGGTAGAATATTATCCTGCCTCTGTATTCCAAAAAGGGGGGGGGGGAACCCCTCAAACCCCTGGGCTATTTCAGCTTCTGAGCTGAAGGGAGATTTTTGTGTGAGGAGAGGAGAGATAATGGACGTCTGAAAACCAGATTCTGAAAGGCTTTTACCTTCTCAAGAGCATCGTATGCCTGGGTGGCTTGTACCTCTTCGTCGGCCCCAGGTGGAATTCTTTTTAAGATGTTCTGCAGAAGGAAAGCATGGTTTATTTATTAGTTTATTCATTCATTCATTCATTTTGTATCCCGCCTTTACCATTTTTACAAATAACTCCAATTGGCAAACCTGTCCAACACATCTTCCTCCTACTTTCTCCACAATGACAACCCTGTGAGGTGGGTTGAACTGAGAGAGAGAGAGGTGAACTGGCCCAAGGTCACCTGGCTGGCTTTCATGCCTAAGGCGAGACTGGAACTCACAGTCTCCCATTTTCTAGCCTGGTGCCTTAATCACCAAACTAGCTCTCTGTGAAAAGCTAAAAAGAAGGAGGGCTTCTATATTTTCTAATCCTTTTTTTAAATTAGTCATCGGTTTTGAACTCAAACTGATCTCACAGCCCCTTCTCTCCAGCAGCTTAGAACAGGAAATGGGGGAACACCACAATTTCTATCTAGAGATCTTTGCTAGAAAACCTGATTAACATCTGCTATCTTATTCTCAAAGGGAATAGGGTAGAGTAGAGTAGAGTAGAGTAGAGTAGAGTAGAGTAGAATAGAATAGAATAGAATAGAAAATGGAATGGAATGGAATGGAATGGAATAGAATAGAATAGAATAGAATAGAATAGAATAGAATAGAATAGAATAGAATAGAATAGAATAGAGCATAAAATATGGAATAGAATATAGAGTAGAACAGAACAGAACAGAACAGAATATAGGAATATAGAATAGAATAGAATAGAATAGAATAGAATAGAATAGAATAGAATAGAATAGAATAGAATAGAATAGAATAGAATAGAATAGAATAGAATAGAATAGAATAGAGCATAAAATATGGAATAGAATAGAGTAAACAGAAGAGAAGAGTCTAGAGACTAGACTAGAGTAGAGTAGAGTAGACTAGAACAGAACAGAACAGAAAATATGGAATAGAATAGAATAGAGTAGAGTAGAGTAGAATAGAAGAGAAGAGAAGAGCAGAGACTAGACTAGAGTAGACTAGAACAGAACAGAATATAAAATATGGAATAGAATAGAGTAGAGTAGAGTAGAGTAGAATATGGAATAGAATAGAATAGAATAGAATAGAATAGAATAGAATAGAATAGAATAGAATAGAATAGAATAGAATAGAATAGAATAGAATAGAATAGAATAGAATAGGGGAATTTTGGCCAGTCAAGTCTTCCTACCTGGAGAAGAAGCTTCAATCGTGTGATGCGCTGGAATGGGAGAATGAGGAAGGATTTGAGGGAGAGACGCTGGCACAGCGGGTCACTTTCCAGTTTCTCCAAGACCTGTTGGAAAGCAGGAACCCCATTCCTAGGCAGCGGGAAGAAAAAGGGAGGTGTGACACATTGTGCGGTAGAAGTCGGAGGCTGGGATCTAAAGGAGGCTCGGTGGGAAAGACTTGAGGTCCAGCTCATCAAAACACAACACGTTTGTTAAGAACTGCTGGACATTTCTCACTGAAATCAGTACTAATCTATATTATAAAGGATACAATGAAACCGTGCATTGCAAAAAAATCACTTGGAGGTGGGAGATACTTCTAATGTAATCTACTGGATCCCTGGCACGGATTGTCCCTGTGACTATGTAGGACAGATGGGGAGGAAGCTAACCACCAGATTGCGAGAACACAAGTGAGCGGGTCAGACCAGGAGACCCAAACTCATTGGTAGCCTCACACTGCAACGAACGTTCAATTTCGCAGCTACTAAGATTGTTGGCCGAGTAGGTACAAAAACAGCCAGGGAAATGATGGAAGCCTGGGAAACGGGCCCCTTGTCAATCAACAGGAGTGTTGATTAACCATCAGCTTATCAGGGGCTTAGGAGCCGAGGGCTTGGCAGCACAAAGAAACAAGAACACAATCATCGGTCCTCAACACACCTATCAACCAATAGGAATGCCACATAAATACGATGCATAGAATAACGCAAAGCACATATTCCAGTAGAGAGATGTTCCCTTAGGATGGGCTCTAGTATGAGTCCAAAAGCTCGGAAGAATAAGCCTCTAGTCCTGGTGACCGACTCAGATTGGATCCTGCCTACGATGAAAAGTTAAACTGAAACAAGCTTATAAAATGATTCCAGGAACAAACTTTCTTCGCCTGCCCAATACCGAGATACAAAGGACCGTTCAACCGAATGTTGGTTTGTCTCTGATTTGTGAGTCTAGTCTGACAACTTCGTTCAGGCAAGCAACATTTAAGCCAGCTTGGGTACCACGCTTGCCTTCAAAGTACGTCGAGAAGTGAGAACATTGGACATTTTCTGTCATGTCTTAACACAGGGGTCTTCAAAGTTGGCCCTTTGATAACTTGTTCAACTCCCAGAATTCCTCAGCCAGGCACGCATGGGAGTTGAAGTCATCAAAGGGCCAACTTTGAAGACCCCTGGACTTCAACTCCCATAATTCCTCAGCTAGGCATGCTGGCTGAGGAATTCTGGGAGTTGAAGTCCACAAGTCATCAAAGGGCCAAGTTTGAAGACCCCTGCCTTAACATACAAACATGCATCAATTGCAGTACCAAGCTGTAATTCCAGGAGAAGAAAGATGACTTGGCTTAAAAAGCTTTTGCAGAGCACTAGAAAAAGGGAGAAGCAACTGGAAGGCATCTTCAGGTTCTTACATCAGTCTCTGAAAAGTCTGGTCCTGATAGGTCTGGTTGGTCACATACGGCAAGTAAACCCTGCGAAATTCTGGTGCATTTCTGAGCGCCACGTCACAGACGTTGAAGGTGAACATGTTCTCCTCGAGCTTCTCTTCCAGTTCAAAGAGGAAGCTGCAGGCAGCATCAGGTTACATCATGAAAGAGAAGCAGAACGCCATTATTGCATTTGGGTGGTTGACTTGTGATCCTTCTCTCAGAAGAATGGAAGGGCCATTGTTGACCCCAATGGGGGAGGGGGGGAAAACCACCTTACTTGGGTAGGTTGGTGTGAGGGAAGCGACAGAACAGAACAGAACAGAAAATATGGAACGGAATGGAACGGAACAAAACACAATAGAGTAGAGTAGAGTAGAGTAGAGTAGAGTAGAGTATGGTAGAGTAGAGTAGAATAGAATAGGAGACTAGACTAGACTAGACTAGAACAGAACAAAACAGAACAGAAAATATGGAATGGAATGGAACGGAATAGAATAGAATAGAACAGAATAGGAGAACAGAATAATAACAGAATAGAATAATAATAATAGAGTAGAGTAGAGTAGAGTAGAGTGGAGTAGAGTAGAGCAGAGCAGAACAGAGCAGAGCAGAATAGAACAGAATAAGGAATAGAATAGAATAAGGAATAGAATAGAGTAGAGTAGAGTAGAGTAGAGTAGAGTAGAGCAGAGCAGAGCAGAGCAGAGCAGAGCAGAATAGAACAGAATAAGGAATAGAATAGAATAAGGAATAGAATAGAGTAGAGTAGAGTAGAGTAGAGTAGAGCAGAGCAGAATAGAACAGAATAAGGAATAGAATAGAATAGAATAGAATAGAATAGAATAGAATAGAATAAGGAATAGAATAGAATAGAATAGAATAGAATCTGGAAGGGACCTTGGAGGTCTTCTAGTCCAGCCCCCTGCTCAAGCAGGAGAAGTCCTTCTAGGTTGGTTCTCTCTTTAATAAGCTTCCACCCACTGCTTCTTCTCCTGCCCTCTGCTCAGTGTATTAGCGGTTGGCTTTTGAGAATGGGAGAAAGAGAACTCACTTGGCGCTAACGTCCCGGACATCCTGAAGGCGGGAGAAAAGCCACTGTCTGTCCTGAGTGCTTAAAACGCCCTGAAGCTCCGGGGAGTGCTGGAAGTGGTCCACGGCTACGTTCAGGCTCCGCAGGTAAGAGGCCTCGGATGCAATCAGTTCAAACTTGGCCTGTTTTTAAGAAGAGAGAAAAAAAAAAACACGTCCCCGGGTCCACAATTAGATTTCCTTCCAGACGAAACGCCCAAATTTGACAGAGGAGGAGCTAGCATTTCATTTCTGATCTCATCCTCCAGAGGAAATATGGGGCAGCCCTCTGGTTCAACTCAAATCAGATCAGTCGTTGCAGTAAATGGAAGAATTTTTTTTTTAAAAAACTGGCTAGATTGGGGAGTCAGCCCTGCCTTCTACCTGCCCAGATTGAGATTTAAGTCCAATTTCATGGCTCTCTTTCTTTCTTAGGCCTGTCCGCTATCACCCTTCTCTTTTGCAGTCCTCTCTGTCTAGGAATCTATTCTCCTTTTAAAAAATGGAGAGATGCTTTTGCATTATTTTGGCTGTTCCACTTCTGCCAGATTGCTGGCCTCGGTGATCTCATTGTCCCGAGCTTTAAGACTGAAATCCTTTATGCGTTTAACTTGGGTGTAATCCCTAACGAAGTCAGCAGGGTGTGCTTCTGCATAAGAGTTGGATTATTTATTAGTGTAGCAGAAATATCTTTCCCTGTCTAACTTCAGACCACCTATTAGATCAGAGCAGATTCCAGCCAAGTGCTGGTTCTTCCCAACCAAGAAATGACCATATCACTTATTCAACAGTTACTGCGTTTCTCTGGAATGGCTCCCATCTTTTTTTGTCGGCCCCTGTTGCTCCCATGGATCAGAGAGAGGTGGGGGGGGCTGTTTTCCTACCCTCCATCTCTGCATATTAGGACAGAGCTAGGAATTTCAAGGAACCGTAGTGGTGCAGTGGCTAGAGTGCAGTACTGCAAGTAAACTCTGTCTGCTGTCAGGAGTTCGACCCTGACCGCCTCAAGGCTGACTCAGCCTTCCATCCTTCGGAGGTCAGTAAAATGAGGACCCAGATAATTTGGGGGGGGGCAATACCGCTTAGAGCAGGGGTAGGCAACCTTGGCTCTTTTATGACTCGTGGACTTCAACTCCCAGAATTCCTGAGCCAGCAGAGTTCAAGTCCACGAGTCATAAAAGAGCCAAGGTTGCCTACCCCTGGCTTAGAGAGTGCTGTAAAGTACTGTCAAATGGTATATAAGTCTAAGTGCTATGGCTATCTAAGCCGTACAGGCTCACTGCTTAGAAGGCAGCATTGCAGGCAAACTCTGCCTACTGTCAGGAGTTCGATCCTGATGTGGCTCAAGGTTCACTCCGTCATCCATCCTTCCGAGGACCCAGATCATTGGGGGCAAATATGCCGACTCTGTAAACTGCTTAGAGAGGGCTGTGACCCACTATGAAGCGGTATATAAGTCTAAGTGCCAGTGCTATTCATTGCCATGTCCCACCCAGTGCTCGTAACCCTCTAGATCGGATGAGGGTTCTCGTCCTTTACCTCCTGCAGCTTCTGCTCCTCGCGGGTCATGCTAAGCAGCATGGTGCTGCCTCGCACCATGGGGATGTCCTGCCACAGGGAAGAGCCCGACGAGACGGACAGGCGTTGCAAGTAGGAGTCCTGAGAGATCGGCATTTTCCTCCGCAGCTTTGGGGATAGCGGTTCCGCCTCTTCGGACAGGGAATCGATCTGTTTTTGGCTCTGGATGGCTTTGTTCAGGGCATCGTCACTATATTCCTGGTAGAGCAATTTGGCTGTGGGAAAAAAAATGGATTCCATAAGAGATCCTAAGTCTGTTGCAATTACAGACAGTCCTCAACTTACAACAGGGTGTGGACTTCCGGTCCTGCGCGGTAGCGACTGGTTGCAGGCTTGCGGACCACCGCACCCTAGTGTCTAATTTTTGTCCTGCCTGGACACCCTAATGCAGTGGTTCTCAATCTTTTTAATGCTGCGACCCCCAACTGGTCGTAAGTCGAGGACTACTCAACCGGTCGTAAGTCGAGGACTACTCAACTGGTGCAGCACCATTTGCAGAATGGGACTTTTGGCGGGCTCGGCAGGGCAGAGACAGCCTGGACAATTCCTATTGGCTTTTGAAAGCCAATAGAATTAGACTCTATTCAAGAGAGTCTGTTCTATTGGCTTTCAAAAGCCAATAGAATAAAAGGGAGGAGCACAGCTAAGGAAAAGGGGGGGAAAATGGCGGACTGCGTTGTTTGGCGACACCCGTGAAATGGTCATTCAGCCCCAAATGGCGTCCCAACCCACAGGTTGAAAACCACTGCCCTAATGGGTCCAAACTGCCTCAGAGAGGCGGCAAAGAAAGAAGGGTGCCTCAGTGATTCTGGAATGACGGTGGTCATTCCATTCGTCTTGAGGAAAGCCTTCTAACCCGACAGGAGAAAGGCTGTATTTCCCTGATCAGCCCAAGCTACTTGCAACCAAAGTCCAAAAGAACTAACCAGCACAACAGTAAACAGCGTGCTTGAAACTGGGTGAGGAATCTGATTTTCCCTTTTCCATTCCACACTAATGTCCTGGAAACGATCCCCAAGAAGCAAAATACCTCCGAAAGTGAAGGAAATCTTGGGAGTGACTATATATTAGCTTAGGAGGAATATATATTTTAAGTAGTATTTTACTTTTAATGTTTCTTCACTCTTGCTCTCTTTTCCTTTTGTTTATACTGTTTTTACCTATTCTTTAAGAAATGTAAAAATGTTGAGATGGTTTATATGGGAAAAATGGATTTAAATCTTTAAATGTAATTAACTGTCGAGAAGATCTTAACCAGCAAGAATACCTTGAACTTTATGGGAGAAACAAATTTAAAATAAGGACTGTAACAGGATGTAAGATGAGGCAACCAGAATGATTAGATAGAAAAGAAATGTTATATTGATGTGATCATTATTTCTAAGAATATTGGGGGGGGATCATATATGTAACTGTTATTTATCAAAATAATAAGAACTGTATTAATTCAAGGTTTGCAAAGTAGACATTTTGGGGAAAAGGGGAAATCAACTAAATGTACCATGTGGATTATGGATTACAGAAACCAATTGTTAATGATTTTTCTTTACAAATGTAAACCCAGCAAACACACTGTTTACCAACTATTAAGTGATTTATGTTTTAAAAAATCAATAAAATATATGGGAAAAGAAATTTACAACAGGTTGTTTAGTGACCGAAGAAATTACAACGGCACTGAAAAAAGTGATTTATGATTATTTTTCACAATTATGACGATTGCAACATCTCTTAGAATGACATATGTATTCAAAATCTTTTCTATTTCTTTAACCATATTCAAACAAATGTTTCTTTTTTAAATATTCTCTCTGGTAGGTCCCATCATCTATTTTCTAAATTTTCACTTTAATCTTTTTCTTTTGACCAGTATCTTTCTTGATCAATATGTTTTGCTGAATCAATACTACATACAAAACAGGACATCTTGGATTTTTCCAAGGGTATTGTTTTCTTCAAACCTTACCTATTTTGACGTGTGACCACAGCTGAGCCCCAGATGTGTGTGGTTAGGTTGTTGAGTGAATTTTGCCCCATTTTATGACTTTTCTTGCCTCCGTTGTTAAGTGAATCACTGCATTTATTAAATTAGCAACATGATTTTAGTCAATCTGTCCTCCCCCTTTGGACTTTGCTGGTCAGAAGTTTGCAAAAGGGTGGATATTAAAGGTTAAATTGGAATATTGATGAGAAATTAAAATTTATGTAAAAATTAATAACAGGATATGGATTATTTATGAAGATTGAATGTAATTAAGATACATGTAAGCTAAAAATTTATTGATAAATGTAATAATGATGTTTTTATTGAGTTGATATAACTAGAATTGTACTAGCTTGAATACAAGACAGTAAACGGAAAAAGAGAAGAAATATCTGATGTTGTAACCTGAGATTTGCACTAAAGATTTTGTTATTGAACTATTGATTAACCCAGTCACCACGTTATTTTTTAAATAATCAAATGTAAAATTGGAAAATTAATAAATTATATATAATTTGTAACTTCAAACTGTCACTAAATCAACTATTGTAGTCAAGTACCTGTTATTAAAATCCAAATAAAGGAACACGTTTAACCCCTGTTTAACGGAGGGGGCGGGGAAGCCACAAACATACCAAGAGAAATAACACTTACATGAATTAATCAGTCTGGAGCGTCGGCGTTTGATATTTTCTATTGTTTCTGTTGTTTTCTTCTCTCTTTCAAGGAAGAGAAAAAAAAATTTTTTTAAAAAAAAAGGAAAATTAAGAAGTCCTCCAAAGGAGTTGGTTTTCATCAATTACACCTAAACATTTGGGCAAAATTCACTTGTTTAGATTGTTATTTGAATTTATTCTAATTGCACATCGACAGGGGGAAAAAAATTGCTTTTTTTTTTCTTGAGACCACAGGATAGGTTTGCAGCCGAAAACACGTGTGGGAAAATGCAATGCCTTGGTGAAAGCGCACATAAACAGGCATTATATTAGGAGAAAAATCTACAAAGCAAAGCTGTGCTAGGGGAGCGTGGGCCAAAATGGAGAGAACAGTGTGTTCAAATCTACCCAACCTCCGGGGAGATGAACATGAACTGAAGTTTAGAAAAACGAGCCGTGGGAATTGCTTTTTTTTTGTTGTTTTTAAAGATCAGGGGAAGAATTTATTTCGCTTGCAAAGGAGGACTGCCTGCAATCCGGAATTAAGCAGTGGTGGGATTCAAATGGGTGAACAACCAGTTCTCTGCATGGATGCCGCTTCTGGAAGTCCGTTCTGGGCCTGGGCAACCAAAAAATTAGCTACCGGTTCTGCCGAAGTGGTGCGAACCGGTTGAATCCCACCACTGGAATTAAGTCATGCAAAATTGTCTCCTTGATATCAAGTGTCTACACCTGCAGACTTTATTATGAAATCTTATTCTTAATTGGCATAGGACAGCTGGAGGCAGTCCAGATGATGTTGTTTTTGCGGATGTTTTCCCCAGTGCTTGTTCTGTGCTTCCCTCCCCATAACGTAGGGGTCTTCAAACTTGGCCCTTTGATGACTTGTGGACTTCAACTCCCAGAATTCCTCAGCCAGGCAGGCGTGCCTGGCTGAGGAATTCTGGGAGATGAAGTCCACAAGTCATCAAAGGGCCAAGTTTGAAGACCCCTGCCATAAAGCATATTTTTAAAAAGGAAAAAGAGCTGTCCCTTAAACTTGGCCTAAATTTGTCCTCCCCCCCCCATCTTAAGTAACTCCATCAACCCACAATCCTGTCAGATCTGGGCTTCAAAATTCAGATGATCCAGTAGATGGCAGCAAAAGGTTAGAGCAGTCTTTCTCAACCTAAGCACCGTGGTGGCTGGGGAATTCTGGGAGTTGAAGTCCACACTTCTTAAAGATTACTAAGGTTACTTTGCCGCTGTCTTGTAGGGGACTGGATCAAAGTTTAGCAGCCTTACTTTATGTCTCCTTTGATCAAGATAGTACAGGGAGTCCTCGATGTACGGCCACAATGGAGCCTAAAATTTCTGTTGCTGAGAGAGACACCTGTTAAGTGAATTTTTGACCCATTTTACGACCTTTCTTGCCACGCTGCAGTTGTTAAATTAGTGACACGGTTGTGAAGGAAGGCCGAAGGCCGCAAAAGGGGATCGCACAACCGTAGCAGCGGTCGTAAATATGAATCCGTTGCCAAGCGTCTGAATTGTGATCACACGACCGCGGGGAGGCTGCAAAGTTCGCCAGTGCAAAAAATGGTCGTCAGTCCCCTTTTCCAGCAGCGTTCTAATTTTGAATTGTCACTAAACGAACTGTTGTAAGCCAAGGACTGCAGACTGTGTACTGCAGGTCTGTCTTTTACAACTTGGCTCGAGATTTTTTTTTAATCAGAATTAACACTGTCTGTTTATAAGAATGTGCTCATTGCTTCCTGCCAAAGAACTGCCTTTTGTAGCCGGGTGGCTTCCTTCTCAACTCTCTGACCCCTGATTGCTCTGCCATAAATGGTCATCCTTCCTCGCTGACGGAGGAAGCCCTTCTGAGATGGTCCACACCAGCAGGCCTCATCCTAAGAGCCAAGAAGGGTGAGCTTTTCTGAGTCATGGAAGCCAGAAGTCAGCTTCCCTCTATGTGGAGTCCCCTAACTCTCAGCTTCCCTTCAGAGCCTTTTTTTATTTATTCACTTATTTATATCCTGGCTTTCTTATTTTCACAAATAAGGAAGTAATCAGACAGTCACTTATCTGAAATGGTATAGGTTCTCCTGCTTGAGCAGGGGGCTGGACTAGAAGACCTCCAAGGTCCCTTCCAGATACTATTCCATTCCATTCCATTCCATATTCTATTCTATTCTATTCTATTCTATTCTATTCTATTCTATTCTATTCTATTCTATTCTATTCTATTCTACTCTACTCTATTTCCATTCCATTCTATTCTATTCTATTTCATTCCATATTCCATTCCATCTATTCTGTTCCGTTCCATTCTGTTCCATTCCATTCCATTCCATTCTATTCTATTCTATTCTATTCTATTCTATTCTATTTCATTCCATATTCTATTCCATTCCATCTATTCTGTTCTGTTCCGTTCCATTCCATTTCATATTTTCTATTCTATTCTATTCTATTCTATTCTATTCTATTCTATTCTATTCTATTCTATTCTATTCTATTCTATTCTATTCTATTCTATTCTATTCTATTTTTTCTATTCCATTCCATTCCATATTTTCTGTTATATTCTATTCCATATTTTCTATTCTGTTCTGTTCTGTTCTATTCTTTATTTTCTATTTTCTACCCTACCCTACCTTACCCTACCCTACCCTATCTATCCTATCCTGTCCTGTCCTGTCCTGTCCTGTCCTGTCCTATCCTATCCTATCCTATCCTATCCCTCTTCTGCACAGGCCCACCTCTGTGGGAGAGAGGATTTCCCCAGCATGGAAGGCAAACAACTGACGAGAAGAGACTCACCCGTACTTCACAAAGTCCAAGTGATTGCCTTTCTCTTTGTGTCCCACGGCTTCCTCCTTCGAGTGGAGAGGGGCTGGGACTTCTGAAAAGGAAGAGCAGGAGGCACAGAAGTTAAAGAGTGGAATCTCTGGGATTCGGTCAAGGCCTTTCAGACAAGGTCACTGATGACCAGGGAGTGAAGGTGACCGAATGCACAGCTGCGCTGAGATCCTTAGAGATCTAAGAACCAATTGCAGGCATTGAAAAAGTGGCTTTTGACCTCTTTCCCCTTCTTCCTTCCCTTTATCTTCATCTCTGCTTCTTTTCCTCCCCCTTTTTTCCGGTTGCCATCATTTCTATTTGTATTTTATGTGAAGAAAAAACTTTTAAAATAAAACTATATATATGTGTGTGTGTGTGTGTGTGTGTGTGTGTGTGTTTGGTTATTCGGGTTTTCTCCCGCGTCAAATTGTAAGTGTCTTGGCAACATTTCGACGAAGTCCCATTCGTCATCTTCAGGCTGGTGTTTTCGGCTTCATGCTTCTAGGCTTCGTGCTTCTAGTGTTTTGGGCTTCGTGCTTCCATAGGTTGCTCCTAGAAGCACGAAGCTGAAAACACCAGTCTGAAGATGACGAATGGGACTTCGTCGAAACATCACCAAGACACTTACAATTTGACGCGGGAGAAAACCCGAATAACCAAAGACATATATATAAATATATATATATAAGATGATTACTGCCATCTTGACTTTTTTGACCCCACCCTGCAGGCACCGCTGATCAACATGCAGATAGATAGTCCTCAACTAACGACGGCTGAGCTCACAACTTCTGTTGCTAAGTGAGACCTTTCTTAAGTGAATTTTGTCCCATTTTACTACAGCTCTTGCCACCCTGGTTAAGCGAATCACTGCAGCTTGTTAAGTTAGTAACCTCGTTGTTAAGTGGCTTCATCAGCAAGTCGCAAAACTTGGTCGCGTGACCCTGGGACAAGGCAACCGCCTAAATACGAGTCGGTTGCCCAGCGTCTGAACTTTGATCACCGCAACCACAGGGCCACTGTGAAAAATGCTCATTTTTCAGAGCCGTTGTAAGTCAAGGACTACCTGTAATGCTAAACTAAGACATTCTACTAGAATAGAAGAAGAGTTAAGTATTTATAGAAGCAAGTTTTGTCTCCTCGTTCCTCTACAGCATTTATTTTTCCTGCCATCTTGAAAAAAATGCTCACCTATGGCGCCATCCGTCGGTATAGAAATCTTCCTTATGCAGTGTCGATGCCAGTCTTTGCTCTTTGCGCGCTGCTTGACTGCTGCCTCCTGCTTCCTCGTGCCAAAAGCAGATTCTTTGGTACCCAACCCAAGGGTGTTTTTGTCCGGACAGCTGGAGGACTTCTCCAGGCGCACGTGTCTGCCCTCCACAGCTTTCCTATGAATCGTCGAGCAAACAGGTTCCCCCACTGATTTGTCAAGGGGTTTTCTGAAACTTCTTGGCCCTTCAGAGAGAAGTGCAACTGGGTCTTCTGCACTCCTGGTCTGCTGCTTGGGCCACTGGGGATCCTGCAATTCAGCCTGATGCACCCCTGGATATGGAACACTTGGGGGAGAAGGAGGTCCAAGCTGGAGAAAGTGCACTGGGTTAGTAAACGCTAAAAGAGAAGGAGGCTGCCTTACATTTGTGGGCTTAGTCTCACGATGTACTGGGGGACGGAAAGTGTGGTGAAAAGACCTTCCATCAGGCATATCCGCAATCCGGGACACTGTTTCTGGAAGGCTGCTGAAGGAGTCTGCTCCCGTCGCATCGCTCCCTAAAAGTTGACCTTGCAAGTCCGACAAAGAAAGATCCAACTCAGGGCATGGGTTACACATGTTTTGTGGAGTTGACTTGGCCAACGGAAGACCAGAGACCTCTTCCATTCTACTGTCCAAGCTTGAAATCAGGACAAGGTCACCTGGTTTGGAAATAGAGGATGGGTTCCACCGACTGCCAGTTGGTGGACTAGGAGGTATCTGTTCCTCACTTCCTGTACGGAAGTCAAGAGGGCTGCTTTCTGAAGCCTCGGTCCTCCACTGTGCAGAGGGGCTGCCCCTGACAGTGAGATGCTTCCTGGGAGTGGAATCTGATCGGGAACTCTGAGACGCCCTGCTCACAGCACTGTGTGGAGGTTGTGTCAGGAAGTTGTGGCCTGCTCCAGCAGCTGCAGGTTGTGTGATCTGTTTAGAGTTATTCCGCTGGGAAGCTGCACTGCTACTAAGTGAAGGAAACACAGAACGTCTAGACAGAATAGGTGAACTGGCATGGCGTGGCACCGGTACAGACTGCCTAGAGTGGTGTACCAAATGTGGAACTTGGCAGCACGGATCTGAGTCCCTTTCAGAGGTGGAAAGCTGCTCAGATACTCTGGTTTCAGGGGCTAAGGGTGAAGGCTCCGAAACAGTTTGATTGGCAGAAGATTTGGGGACTAATGGATTAACCTGGCTGGAAGAGGGCAATTGTTCTAGGTGTTGGTCAGGACTTCTGGGATTAAGGCCTGGGGGAACTGGCTGGGCATTTGCCATGGGTGGGGGGCTTACAAACTGGAGAGGCTGCCTTGAAGATAAGAGTGAAACATATTCAAGGGCCATAGTTTGCTCAGAGTCTCCCACTAGAAGTGGCGCCAAAGGTTGTGCTAGATGAACCGCATCGGTGCTTTTTGCAAAGAGAGTCCAGCAAGATGGAAGGCTGTCAGCTTCAGAGTCACATTCTGTTCTCTCTTTTCCAAGAACTGAAAAACAGGGTGACTCACTGGTTAAGCTATCTTGTGCCACACAATGTGTCTCTGCTGCTGCTTCCTTCCCCGATAACCCGGCATCCTCCATTGTGGGTTTCAGCTGTTGATGGGACTTCACATCATTTTCGGCAGTGTCTTGCTCTGAATCCCAGGAAGACAGACTCAACTTTATCATCTCTTTGGCTATATTGGACAGGCCTTCTTCTAGAGATGGGTTGGGGAGGATTCTGGAGGTAGAACTCTGAATGTCTTCAAGGAAGTCCTCACCAAAAGCGGGCAGATGACCATCTCCATCACTGTCCACTGCTGAATCTTCATCACATCTCGCTCTGTCCAGTTGACTGGACAAATGTAAACCTGACTCATCTCCTGCATAACTGACAGTCCCATCCGTGGCTCCCTCGCTAGGATCTTCTTGCAGAAGGGCTGCTGCTATTGTCCTCAATGATGGGACAGGATTCTGGTCAGAATCAGAAGAAAAGCCCACAGGCTGGGAATCATGAAGATGTTGGGTGTCGATGTCTAATGCTACATCTGTAAACAATTGTGTTACTTGCTCGTCATCAGCACTCCTTACATTTTCATTTCCAATGTCCTCTTTTCCAACATCCACAGTGGTTTGTGAGCCATCTTGATCACAACAGGACATTTTGCTCTCTTTGTCATAGATGCCAAAGTGTTCCACTTGTCCAGAGCTGTGATATATGGCAGCCTGTGTCTCTGGGCTTCCACTATCTGTCTGAAACCCTGCAAGGATCATTCTAGTAGTTGTTTGGACACAAGGTTCAGGCAATGCACAAGCTGATGCTGGAGAGTGATCTGCTGAGGACACCTCCTTGAAAGAGAAAGCAAATTCTCCAGAACTGTTATTGTTTAAACCAGAAAGGGCCAAACTGTTTTCCAAAGAACTGAGTGTGTCCTGGCCCAATCTGATAGGCATGGAGGGTATTGTTGCTTGCACAGTCCATTCTTGTTCTTCTGAGTCATTGTGTGGCAACTGTACTTCCTCCAGATTTGTTTTCGTTTTGCTCCCATTCAAATTCTCCTCTCTCTTTTCCTCACTGCCTGCCAACTCCAGTGCCTCCATCTCTGCAAACTGTGGCCTCATTGCTGTTGATAACTGTTTTTGGTCTGACTCTGATTCATCACAGTTCAGACTGCTTATATTACAATTGGCTGGGATGTTTTCCTTTAGTGAAAGAGAGTTGCTCACTTCCACGTCGCTCTCTTCCTCTTCCTGGAGATGAAGAACAAGGCAGCTGAGAATGTTTTTCTCCAAATCTCCTATTTCATCATCAACATTTGAACGGTTCTCCACTTCTTTGGAAGATACCTGGAACAAAACATTTCTTTGTGCCCCATCTAAATTTAACTCCTCCTCTTCCGAGGAACGATTGCTCAGTCTTTGACTCGCTTCTTTCCTTTCATTGGTCCTCACCACAACATCCATCCCTTCGTAAAGGTTTCCGTTCTCCTCTTGCCGTGTCTCCAGCGTCCATGAATGATCTTCAGCTGATCTGGACTTGGAAAAATCAGCACTTTTGTGGCAACGTGAAATATTATGAATCACCAAAGGAGATTCATGGACTGAGTCTTCTTGGCCAGGAAGAGAGTCTGTTGTTGCTGATTCCTCGTGCCGTGTCTGAGGGAGCATGTCACACCGAGTTGGAGATGGGCCAAAGCTAACGTCATGGACTTGGCTCTGCATTTGTCCTG